TTCTTTAACCCACTAAATCTCTTATCTATATATTTCTGTGTGTCTAATGATCTCTTCTGAGCAATTGTTGCCTCACACAAATCTTACCATTAAATCAGGGTTTCCACATTCTCTTACCTAATTTGTCACCAGCAGTTCTCTTCCTTTGTCCTGTTTACAGTGATGTGCAATTCTAATCTTTCACTAGTCCTGTAGAAGGTGTCAGGCAGATCTGCAAATCCCTGTTGTCCCTGGTAAGTAGATAGACATTAGTAGCATGCTCCATGCTGTTGATCATCATGTTACTTACCAAGGAGATGTGGTGTACTCTTGGAGCAATGACCATCTTGTCTTTTGAAGATGTTTTGAGGCATTAATTGCTTAGCTCACTGTTGACAAGGAATGACTAACTTCACCTTTTTGTAAATGTTTTTCAGGAAGGCTAGCAATTTCTTGACTGCACTGTATGAGCCCCAAACAGCCATCACCATCATGCATATTGAATGGCCTTTATATTCATTAAGGGTCTTTCTGATGACTTCATAATGCTTCAAGCACGAGCTTGCTCCTGTGCTGCTCTTCACCTGAATGTTCTCCTCCCTCCTCGGTGACTCTTTCCAGAAGAAACAATAAGACTTCATTCAAACAGGTGGAGATTTCTTTATAACAGATGCAGTCCTACACTTTATCTTTCTTGGGTATCAACACTTTGTTATTAAAATGCTTTTCCTTCCTGCCACAATCTCTTCATCTGACAGGCAAAGTGGATTGAAGTATGCACAACAGGACCACCCATCTAGGGAAGCTCTTATTGGTGCTGGTTATTTCACATGGAAGATGGGAAAGGACAAAACACAGAAAATCCAGGAAACCACATTCAAGTTTCTCACATTTTACCATAGCAAACATAACCCTAAAAAGTCTGCACCTCTATCTTCTATGTATATACAGTACGACACATATTGGTCCTGCAGTGATGGTCCTACTTGTTCAGGTATGCTCCGCTAGAGGATTTGGAAGACTTATTCCTTAACATTAATTCCTGGGTTTGTGAGGAAGGAAGGAAGCAGGGTGCTCGTGATCTTTGATCACAGTTGTGCAGCCCACTCATTTAAATAGGGTCTCATTAGCCTTTATTTTTCTGTTCAGATGTTTAAAAGTAATTGTATGTACACTAACGATCTAAAACATTGAATTATTTTATTGTGTTTATATTTATTCTTTGTTATATTTATTAATTAATAAACATTGGTGACTCTGGTGTGTTATTGTTGGAGCCTTTCTATGATACAAAACTATGATTTACTGTGAGTCAACTAAACAGACCTTTAACAAAGGAGCAGAACTCTTCCCCTTTGATGAAGGGTACTTTTTCACTAAAATCTCCATCACCCTGGCATATCCTTCAAAAAATGATAGCTGGGTAAGCGTAAGCACTTAAATAAGTTCTAATAACAGATAACATTATGATAATAACCATCTTATTTCAAGTTCACCTCTTGCTAGTATTACAAGAGTAAAAGCCACTTTTTATTTCTTTCTGTGTTTCCTTATTTTCTTTGGTGGTGCATAAGAATACATTAGTCTGATGGCCAAGAACATAAACACAAAAGAACTGGATGAAGGGAAAACACATCATGGTCCTGAAAGACATTTCTCCACTGTGTTGAATGTGAGTGTAGTACTGAGGGCAGCCAGATCTGCACGTCATAGTCCTCTTATGTTGTTGGCAGCTGGCAAGCTGATGAATGGGATATAAGAATTACTGCATACATCTGACAGGTATCTCAGCAAGGGGCTTTTACTTCTGGTGCTGCAGCTATGAATCTACTGCTTTCTTGCACAGCAAGGTTTCCTCACTTGCAATTCTCTCTTTAAGTCTTGCCCATTGATTAAAAAGCAGCACCATCTAATTCTAATAATTAGAATCACCTAGTCACACAATCAGAATGAAAGTAGAAAGCACAGTATCCGTGGAAGGGAGAAAAAAAAAAAAGAAAAGAAGTTTTGTAGTGATCTGTTAAAGATATCTGTGTCCCTTTTAATCTGTTTGGACTCTTTAATAATCATGGAATACTGTTCTCCTGGATTTATTTTTCTGCCTTTGAGGAAGATGTTCTTAATCACTTGTTCAAATACACATTCTATACACCATACTTCTAACATAAAAACCATTCTCTCACCAGCATGCAGTCCTTTGCTGCATTGATGGTAAGCTATGCACATTGCCACTCCTGTGGGTAAGAGTGGAGGTTATACTGAAGTTCATTTGGAGCTCCTCGTCACAGCCAATTTCTGGTGCCAGAGTACCTTTCTTCAGCTGAACCAGTAGATTTTAGAGATGAGTAATATAACTTTGAACATTTCATAATGTGCCCACCAATGGAGAACAATTATATTGGCAGTTGAATCAGTGAAACTAAGTTTAGGAAAATAAAGAAGGGACAGGCAAGACTGTGAAAATAAGCAGATATCTCCCTCTCTGTCCCTTTCTCTGTTATCTTCACACCCCTTACACAATTCAGAGGATATTACAGGTCTAATATCCCAAATATTTCTATATCATCCTGTCATCAACATTCCATTAGTGTTTTACTCTACTGTAGGTGCAGAATTTAAATAACACACTCTACAGGTGCTTTTTAAATGCATGCAAGCTTGTTTTCCTACTCCACTCTTACTGCCCTTTAGATATTAGTTTAGCATTTGCTTTGTCGCCTTGTCTGTCTGCGGCTTTGTTATCTTTACATTGTTGTCTCAACAATACAGACTTTGAGTACATCTTTTATGTAATGTTCCTAAAAGCCTTTCACCCAAGAAGCTAAGCTGAAATACTTGTTTGGGTGAAAAGCAACTCTGTTGAATTAAGAAATTCTTCCATGGAAAAGTTGAGAAGAAAGGTTATGTAACAACTTTAAGTTATAAAATGGTATATCTGTCACAAATCTTCTTAAAGGGGATAACTATTCATACAGTAATACTATAAATTTTATAGCACTCTGCTGGATTAGATCTACAAATCTATTCCTCTGAAAAATTATAAAGAAATTAATTGGAAAATATTTTTTTTCTGAGTTGTTTGACATCTTGTAGAGATGGATACTGATGGCAGAGGTATAATTCTCTTGAATTCTATTCAGTTCTAAAAAAAAAAAAAACCAAAACATGCACTACAGAAAACCTATCACTTCCTGCATACATAAAACCTGTTAGATTTTATGAGGATGGATAAAACTGCTTAAAAACTTGTCAAAGATTAAGATCAATGTTTCAAAGAAAAGGTTAAATTGCTCATAAATTTAAAATACCTTCTGTGACTCTGATCAGGAAACAACCCATAAATGATTCTAACTCTTCATCCAGTAAATAGTCCTGGTGGAAAGTGGAGAGTGTTTGCCTCCTGAGTGTGGCTGGGAACATTAACACCTGTGCTCATCCCTAATTGGATCTAAGACTGAAGGTAAATTTTCCAAGCGCTGAATATCAGTGATCATCTTTTTCCTTTCCTGTAGATATATTCTCCTCTTTTGTGCTGAGCAAATCAGTCCATTTGAAATCTGAGGCATGTTTAAGAGTCCATTTTCATTCCAGACACTGGATATTAGTTTTGCCCCTGGTGAAGCTGTTATTTGTTGGCATTGAAGTTGCACTAATAAGAAGTAGTCAAGAGTAAAACACCATCTTGTGCAGAAGCAGTGACCATCTGAGGTCTTGGCTTCTGCACTGTGTGTGGATGACTGAGTCCTGGTGTAGAGAACAGGGAATGTGCTGAGGACCAAGTGACGGCAGCAAGCTTCCTACAGGCTCTGTAGTACAGGGGCAAAGTTTAAGCCAAGCAGTGAATGATCAAAACAGAACAACGGAACCATACAGATAAAGGTCATCTACATCAGTTACACTGTGAACAACTTAAAATAGTTAGGACTCATTTATAAGTTTTTATGTAAGACAATTGAGCTCATTTTTTTATCCTTCAGTTATTTGACTTTAAAGATTCACAGGTGATTTCTATAGTCATTAACATCAATGTCTTTTTTGAGGGGGAAAAGAAACCCCATAACAATCTGAGATTCTTCAGCAGTTCTCTAGCTGTAAGACCTGGGGCTTTTGAAAAACGGAAATATCATGTTCATGATAAAACAGCAGAAATCTGCAGTGCTCTAATTAGATCTGTATATTTTTAGTGGAGTTGAGTGAAACTCTGTAAATGTCAGTACTTCCAAGAAAATCCATTCTTATACTGACAAGAGTGAATTAGCCCAAGAATTTTGTCACATTTGTTTGATTTGGGTTTTCAGTCACTTTGGCTACCTGTGGTCAGAGCGAACAGAGGCAGATTAAAATTCTGTGTGTGCTACGGTCACACAACACCATAACACTCCAGCCATGAGAAACCAAGAAACAGGAGCAACACATCGACCTGCGTGGTGATCTGCCCAGCTTCATTAGTCACATCTGCAGAGAGGATTTCTTGTTTCAGATGCAATGACACATAGCCTCAGTATCTGAGCTCTGAGCTGGTATTTCTGCATGAGCTGCGTTGGCCCCTTCAAAATCTGCTTCTGGCTCTTTGTGCACTGCTCCATTGTGCAGTACAGGCATGGTCTGCAGCACAGTCCTGCCCTTCACACTGTAAGGGGTTTTGTCTGCAAGGTCACCTCCTTTCAGGTGTGAGTAGCGTCAACCCAGTGTCAGTAAAACAATGAAACCAAGATTTTCTCCCCAGAGCTCAGTGATGCTTAGCGTGATGCAGAGATGTGCTTGTACATGGTGGGTTTCAGGACCTGCAATTTTTAGTATTGCTTCAACTACCTGAGCTGGAGGATGAAGAATATACTGTCTAAGTAGAAAGTGCCAATGATGAGCAAACATAAGGAAGAGGAAAATACCCAATTCTTCTACTAAACTCCTCTTAGCATCAGAGGTGTGGGTGTGTACTCTTAGGTTTCATATTTTAGGAAAAGTTCTTTTCTTACCCTTTTGAATGGTTGATGTTGTCTCTCTTTTGTTTATCCCTGCAGTGATGGCTGGGCAGACAGGTATGATGTGACAGACGGGTATCAGCGTGAAGCTGTAGGTGGCATAACGATCAAGCTCCAGTCTCCTGATGTGAAATGGTTTGATGATTACTACCTACAGCTTCGGCCAGAAACCAATCACCGAAACCCATGGTTTCAGGAATTTTGGCAGCACAGGTTCCAGTGCCGGTTGGAGGGATTTCCTCAGGAGAACCCCAAATACAACAAGACTTGCACAAGTAAGTGAATTTAATACTTGTACCGTATTGACTGAAGGTCTGCTGTAAAGAGCTCACGTTAGACTGATGCAACCTGATCTGGTGGAATAGCGAGTGAGGCTGGAAGGCAAGAGGCTGGAATTGCAATTGTTGCTCCTTCCAAAATTATGACAACCACAATTTAAAAAATATTTAGATTTCTGAAGAAACAAATAGAGCCTCAGTACCTAATTCCTCTCTGTATTTGTAAATCTTGATTCTACTCTACCTCCATAGGCATCTAAACACTTTCAGAAATGTTGCAATACAAAATTCAATGCTTCTTTTCCAAAGCAGGGCTAATCATATTGCTTCAACTCACAGGGGCAGTGAGACAGTTAACTGAAAGTTATCTAAAATCCATATGGCAATGATGATTATTTGTGTACTTCAGACAGAAGACTAGCTGGTTTGAAAGATTTCATTAGTTTTTTTTTCAGCCATGAATCATTTCAGGAAATGCCATTTGGATCTGAACTTTTTCATTAAATTGTACTTATTTTAGCAAAAACTGACACAACATTTTGTCATTTTTGCAAAACAGCGGCAAAAAAAAAATTTTCCCCAGAAAGATGTGGTGCATTTTTCTGTGTTTTTGTTTGCTTGTTTGTGGGGCTTCATTATTTCTGTTAATTGCTCTTTATTTCATGAGATGTCAACCAGTACTAAACCAGCGGGCATCCTGCTGGTGCTGGGGCATAAGGGGGTGTCATGCTGGGCATTGGCCCAACCACAGCTCCCAGCCCCAAAAGATCTCCTCTCCTAAAAAATGTCAATGTCTTCTACACACCCATGAGACCAAGAAAAGACTTTAAGGATCAAAGTTCTGAATTTACACAAAACAAAACCCACTTAAGTCCCACCTAACATTCATAAGTCTCTCATTTGATTTGGAGAAGGTTGCAGGGGAAGTTTGTGGCTGAGATGCACACTGAATTTAGTGAATCTCAGTGTACAACATTCAACTGATTTTCTCTCTTCCAACACAGCCTGAAACAGGTTTTATTTGCACTATTGACAGGTACTGCATATTGAGCAGTAAACTTCATTGATTTTCCCATAATAATGTAGATCTCATGTCAGTACAGTGGTCATGGCTGGATACAGGCTAATAAAGACCTGATTTCTATCACTGTGCTGTGTTAGCAATGACATTTGAACCTGACTTTTTTGGGTTTCTTTCTTTATTTACTTTTTTGCCATCACTGGGAGAATCTAATTTATCTTTTATATGAAAGATCAAGAACTGTGAAATGTAGGTGCCTACAGAGTCTTTTATAATGCCTAAAATACAATTCACCACCACAAGAAAATTATCTCCAGGGTGCAGGGAGATGTTATTTTAGACACAAAGTCACTCAGTCATGGATAGGAGACAACTTAATCATAAAACTTGAATAGCTTGGTTTGAACAGCACTTGTCACTGGAAGGCTTCCCACAAAGAGGTCCTGAATGAGCCACAGCTCAAATAGATTCCTAAAACCCAGGATTGTCAAACACACAAAGAAATGTGCAAGAATCACAGTCTGCTGATTTGCAAATCATGAAGAGATAAAAAGACTAATTTCCCAAATAAATTGTTCTAATTCCTTTTCCTTCAGCTTTATTGTTGTATTCAATGCTGGGCTATAATGCTATGGTAAGAGAATGAACATCAGATTATAATAGCTTTAATTCTTCCTTGTTGCTGTAGGGCAGAAAACGTTAATTCAGTTGTGGAATTCCCGGGTTAACAACACTACCCTACAACAAATGACTAAAACTGCCCATTTAATCAGAGTTTTCATACAGGAAGTTATTAGTTACTATGTTACTCAGTTTTATAGTTCTGATTTTGATCTAGACCATCTGTCAAAATTCATATAAAGGAAATTCAAAGGTTGGCCAGAAAGATGACATGCAGATTTACTTACTGTCAATTTTTTTTTGTGCCATGAGTGCTAAAACATCTATGCTTTTTTTTTTTTCATAATAGCCCCAAAAGTAGGCAAGGGTGTATGATAAAATGAAGAAATATTGAAGTTAGACAACACTGTGTGTTTACAAACAGGAAAGACATAAATTCTCTGAGAATTACAGGATGGGGAGACTTTAAAGTTGGGACTTTAACCTCAAAATTAACATGAAGTTTTGAGACTGTCATGTTACTTTTTGTTTCTACCTTATTTCCATATGAGTTTGAAAGTCAAGTCTTTATATTGATTTCTTCATTCATGTTTGTTTACCTCAAACACTCAAATTTTTGAGTCTTAAATTCCCTCAGCTCACACTTCACTGCTGTAAAGATGATACTCGATCTCGTGGGTCACAAGCATTTCATAGACTGTCCTGACAGTTTCTGCACAATGATGAATATATTAGTGCTGCTTCATATTTATCCTGTTAAGAAAACAGGACTGTGCCCTTTAGTTTATATAACTGAGTAGATATTCTTCTCCAGTAGCTGCATTAAAAAAAAAAATAAAAAAAATCTAAAGGTGTTTTTCAGGATTCCAATTAAATTGCTGAGAAATGTTGGAAAGAAGTAAAAATCTATTTTTGCACCCAGAAGCAAGCCATTTTTTATTTGTTGGGATAATGATAAAAAAGATAAGCATAAAGGTGATTGATGTTGATAGATGAGGTCATTAAATGAAAGTGTCTATATAGGAAGAAATAATCATTACTTCAGTGGGGGAAAAAAAAGATTATTCTACACAACCTGCTTGTGCTGTCATGAAAAAATAAACAGTGGTTAACAGTATAAACAACTTGTTAAGCATAAGAAGATAAGCCTGAAATTTGAATAGATAATTGATTTCACCTATGCCCCAGGTATGAATTTAGTTGTTTAAACCTTTGTATTTACTTTGCTGATCCCTGCCTAATAAAATGGTAGGCTACACTTGCCTCCACGACAGAAAATACATGGAATCATAAGTCAGTGAAGGCAGTCCCAGTGACGTGTGAGGGTTTTTAAATTTTTTAATATAACCTATCCATAGATAGTGCCAAGCAGGTATTATTATGAAATGAAGACATGATGCATAAGGAAACTGTGAAATCAGCCAAATAAAGAGAATCAAAAAAACAATCCAAAGTAATTTTTTCTCCATTCATTTCCATCAAGCACTAAGAAGTCTCCAAACCTTCACATACACTTAGTTCACACTGAGATGAAAATTCTAGCTTCACGACCACATTTCATTTGCAGATTTGAACATAGTTACTTAATCCAAATGAGTGTCACTGTTGTTGCTAAGTTCATTGATTTTCTGCCCAGCTGGAGCACCACAGAAAGTGAGAAGTTTGCAGACTTATCTGACTTGATTTTCAGTGTAATCAGTTCCATGTCACAGGAGAGCTGCTACAAGCCACCTCTGAACACCAAGAGTCAAAGCAAAGAATTTAAAATGCATCTTTAAATGGAGACATGTAGTGGCCTCTGAACACTTGGGATTTCACATGAATTGAATTTGGCTTCCCTTCTGGCATCAGTAAGATTTTTTTTTATTATCTAAGGCCACAATTCAGTAAAGTTCATAAACAGATGTGCAAGTTGATCCAGGTGAGTAACTCCCCTCAACAACCATCTTCAGGTCATGAAAGGCTAATCCAGTCCTTTGGTGTTGATTGACTTTGGACCTTTGAAGACTAGGTATGTATGTGCTTGCATTCTTACATACAAGTGACTCAAATTCCTAGCACTTTTTCCTCCGGGTAAGGGTGTTTTACAATGGCATCTTAACACAGAGCAGAAACAAAACCTGATGCAAGAAAAGTATGTTGTGAAACTCTGACTCAACTGACGTTACTGGAAAAAGTCAAGTCTTTGAAGTCACCAGGAACAGAAGCATACTTATTACATTTGCCAATCTGTTAGATGAATCCTTTTGCCTCTTCTGCTAAGTGATCTTATTTTTCCCATACTGTTTAAAAGCCAGAAGCACAGGTGAAACAGCATTTTTTAAGGTGTTACTTAAACAGAGCAAAGCCAAGATACACATCCCAAGTATCTGTGATCTAAGTGTAAGACAAGAAAGAGCAAATAGAGGGTGATGCTGATCAAGCAGTGCAACATCTTGGTTTGAGGTTACAGACCTCAGAAAAAAATGGTGAGTTCATGTAAAGGAACAACAGAAATAGGAATTTGAAGAATGGTGATGGGGCACTTGTGCAGGTCTTTACAGCAGAGTCCTGACCTTAAATACTGTGGTTCAAAGCAGCAGGCTAGAAAACACAAAGGGAAATTATGGAGGTTGGGTAATCACAGACAAAGATCAACCACAGACAGGGCATAGAGGGCACTGAAAGCAAGGAAAGCAACTTATGTCTGACATGCTCGGGAGCAGGAAGCAAGTGGCAGGGTTTATAGGGCAGGAGAACACACTTGAAGTGATGAACAGGGGAAAATGAGATTTGCAGAGCATCCTGAATGGGTCTTAGCAGGATCCAGAAATCCAAATATTCCATTCATTATTTAACCATGTGGATTCTCTGAGATAAAAACACTTTCTCCAAGGTTACAAAAATTGACAGAAGAAGGATGACCAATCTATCTCCAAGCCATAAAAAACAGGATTAAGGGTGAAGTTTATCTCAGAAAGGGAAAATAGTGAGATGTGGGTTAGATACAAGAAAAGTTTTGCAGCTCAAGGTGCAGAAGGGCATAAAATGTTTATGCAAAAATTATCTGTCTGTTTGCTGAATCTCATTCAGCTCCAGCTACTTTTAATGAGGTTAAAAGGACCCACAGAAAGTCCCACATTTTCATCTGAACAGAAATTTGGTTTAACAAACGGCTCTTTTGGGTTTCCAGATAGAACTAAGGAATAAAATATGACTGTCCAGTCTTTGCACAACAACATACTAATGATCTGTTTGTTTAATACAAACTCAAATGCCAAAATTGGTTTACTCAGAACTTAGCCAATAAAATAAATGTGCTGTCAGAATGAAAGGGTATTTTCTGTATTTCAAGGCATATGTCACATTGAAACCT